ACGACCTCGACGACTACAACAACGTCAACAACGACTTCGACGTTGAATGGCATGGCCACCCTGGAAGTTGGTGAGGTGACAGTACAGACCGGAGCGTGGGTGAGCCATTCTTTCAGCATGCCTTTTGCTGAAGTGCCAGTGGTGGTCCTTGCCCCGTCGGCACAAGTGGATGAGCCTGCAGCAATCCGCATAAAGGACGTGACCAAGACTGGCTTCCAAGCCGTGGTTGCGAAGCCCACCGGCAGTAGCGTTGCCGGTGCATCCATGACGGTCTCCTTCGTTGCGGTGGTCCCGGGAGTTCGTCAGCTCCCAGGCAGCGGCTTGTGGCTCGAAGCTGGTCGAGTCTCCACTGCCAAGCTTGCGGCTTCAACGAAGTGTAGACCCTCGGGCGGACTGTCGACTTCATGGCAAAAAGTGGATTTCCAGAACCAGTTCGCGGAGCAACCGGCCTTTCTGACGACTATCCAGACGGTGAACAATGAAGTAGGCCTGCCGTCAGCGAATTCAGAGCCATGGTTTACAGTGGGTGTCAATTCTGTGAACCCCGCTGATGCGTGGGTGTCGCTGGAGATGGCTGAGACTTCCCAGCATGGAGGCTCTGCTGTGAATCAGGACGAGGAGGTTGGATGGCTGGCTATCCAGCAGGGTGTCCACACATTCCAGGCATCAGGTCAGGCCGTCCAGTGCGCTGCTGTGAAATCCTCCCGAAGCGTGAGGGGCTGGGATAACGGTCCAGCCACCGTGTCCTTCGGTGCTGATATGGGTGGGAGTCCCCTTGTAGTTGCGAGTCAGTCGAAGCGGTTTGGAGGTGATGGAGGATGGGTCCGTGTCATGGGCACCTCGTCTACATCGGTTGAGGTGGTGATCGATGAGGATCAAAATTGCGACAACGAGAGGAGGCACACCAACGAGGAAGTCAGCATATTGGCCTTCTCTAGTGGCTGCATCCTTCAGTGAGAAGAAGAGAGTTGAGGAATCGGGCAACGTACCGCTCGAATCCCTTGCAAATCTCTTCCGTTCCCGCGCCGTCTCGTATAGTTGCGTTGTCGCTTCGTCCGCTGCTCCTTTTAGCAGCTATCCCTTCCGCTTCAATGTAAGCTTGTGGAGGGAAGCACTGCTGTAAGGGATAACCGTGTGGCGAAGCCAACGCGATGCAGAATTCAACATTACAGAACCATTGCAATTTTGTTTGTCTAGTGAGGGGTGGGACCGTAGCAGTGTGCGAAGGTCGTTGAAGGCACGAGTCCTTCACTTGCTTAGCATGTCTCCTGACGCTGGTGTTCGATCGAAGCTAGGAGCCCAAATCGGCGATGCTTCTTCAGCCTGCAAAGTGCAGAATTGTTCAAGAAGCTTTCGTACCATGTAGCTGCTTCCGAACTGCCCTTTTGATATCGGCCCCTTGAGGCACGACCCCCCGAGCTCCCTACGCGGTGCGTCATGAGACGGTCACCGCGAAGGTCGACCAGTTTTTGCAGTC